CCAGCGCTTGTGGCCCTGCACCAGGGCGTTCCAGGCGCTGGTGCCCAGCGGGTCGATGTGGATCCCGGTGCCGGAGCGGGGCGGGCCCATCACAAACCACCTGAGGGGTCAGTTGGGTCACAGTTATGACAAGAAAAGACACAATTCCTTATTTTTTAGCAAACTGTGGCTGCATGGCAGAGAAATTACACACCCACAACATTTATAATATTTATTATATCCTTCTTTAGGATGAATGGGGTTTATATCACTAAAGTGATCACAACAACCACGTCTAATCATAGTTTTAGGGCGGCACAGGTTGCAGTTTTCTGGCTGATTGAACCTGTTGAGTCTGATTTAGGCCGATACGATTCTTTAGTCTGAAATGTTGATAAATAAAGCAGGAAAGTCACCGAGTTGGCAACAGCAGGGCGAATATTAACTGCAAACAGTCATGACTGGGTGGGTGGGGCTAACCATGTAGGCGGGGCTAACTCCATGGGCGGGAGTTAGCCCTGCATACTCCCGCAGGACTACAGCTAACTGCATGGGCGGGGCTAATTCCATGGGCGGAGCTAATTCCATGGGCGGGGCTAATTCCAGCAGCTGAGGACAGTGGGTGATTTTTAATCCTTTGCTGAGGTGGACGTGATCTGTTCACATGGAAGTATCGGCCCATCATTGGCCCGCCAAATTGGCGGCGATAAATCAGTGGACCCCTACAATATTTTCAAAGGTATGGACATGTATTGATACACCTTTACTGAACAGTGGAGAAAAATAATCATAATAATAATTAAAAAAAAAACAATCCTGACAATATAGACAGTTCTTGGGGGTTTTAAATATCATTAATTAAAATTGTTAAATCAAAATCTTACAAGAATCATAAACGATACAATAAATGCCCTGTTTGAAGGTGTAGGGTCAGCTGGGGGCTCACCTGTACGGCGGTCTGCGTTTCTCCCCAGCGAACTGGAACAGGTCGTCCCTGAAGAAGAGCGGCACTTCGTAGTCGTCCAGCAGCTTGCGGCGCTTGGCGTGTTCGCCGTAGCTGCTGTCGAAGATGTAGAGCGGGCTGTCGTCCCGCGTGGACTCCAGGTACTCCACGTAATACTTCATCTTCAGCTTCACAGAGTAGCCGTCGTTGTCCTCACCGCACTTGAACTTCTGGTTGCGGTATTTGCGTTTGAGGCGCTCCAGCGTCCATTTCTCCCGAGCGGGCCAGCTCTCCTGGCAGTTGAGGAGGACGACGGGTTTGTAGGGGCGCTCGAAGCGGGAGATGAACTCCTCTGGAGAGAGGCGCAGTGCGTCCACACGCTCCACGTTGTCCTGCAAGACAGGAAGTCCTTCAGCAAAGGAGGCAAAACCACAGGAAGTAAACCTACACGGCTGGTTTGGTTCTGGACAACATGAAGCTTCAGTTCACTGCTGATTAGATCTGTCGCAATAAATCAATTAATCACATAAATTAAAACTAAATCAATCATTTCCATTTCCATGATTTATTGTTTTTCTCCTGTCAAAGACTGGGTGATAAAAGTCTTCAGTCTGCTGCTTGGTCACAAATAAATCTTATTTTTACATGACAATTTGCTTACAGATTCTTTATGATTCACTTTGTTGGTTTATTTTAAAATGTTTTCCAGTTCCAGTGTTAAATGTTCATTAGAAATTCAGGGTTTCCCCCTGGTGGCCCACCATGCTTTACTAGACCCCCCGCCAGGCTAAGCTTTCTGTTTTTAGAAAATTTAATAATTATATATATATATATTATTTTTAATTTAATCCAGATTGAAAGCGTCTCTGTTGCTGAGTGATTCACTAGTGGAGAAAATGTATTTCTAAAAGTAGTTTATAGTTTATTATTTACAGCCGGCAGAGCGGACCAATCACAGCCGGCACCTCGGCGCTGCTTGATCTCAAGTTTACCTCAGCAGGGATCGCGCTCCTTTATTCAGTCAAACTGGACTCAGGCTGACCTGTATGGATATTTACATCAACCCCCTGTGAGGAATTACGATTCTTTAGAGAACTCCACATCAAGGTAAGAGTCTAGACCCGCCGTGTTAGCTCTGGTTGAGCAGCTCTATGTGAACCACAGGAATAACTTGTAGATGATTTCAGAGAAGCGGTGAGAATGATTTATCTTTATGAACAAAACATTATGCAGCGTTTCCATCTCAACACGCTGCCCAGCGTGTGGCGCTGTCTGCCCTGTAAAGTTCATGTCCGTGTTCCTGGTTGGTCGGAGCCTTAGCGGCTAACGAACCAGCGCTAACCTCATCATGCAGGTTCAGCCAGGTGAGGAGCTTTAGCCTCGTAGTCACTTTTTACGCTGGTTTTATATTATTTTATTTATTTTTTTTCCGGTTACATGATGAATCAAACCGTATCAGATGCTTTGTCCACTTAGAGTTAATGAGCGAGGAGATCTGAGAAACTCGTCCCATAAACTCCAGCAACCAAAACAGTTTCTGAGACTCTTATTAAAACTCAACAGACAGAAATGTTAGAGCTGCTAAAGCCACACTAACAGCATTGAATTAAATCTCCTGTTTGTTGCTCATCTCTGCTCAGTGCGGCAGATTTAGCTCATCCTGCAGGGCTGGTCCAAGGCTGGATGAGGCCTGGGGCAGAATCTGACTGAGGGGCCCCATCAGCAGCTCTAACAGCTTCTGTGTTGGATTTAATCTGGGAGACGAGGGGGAGTTTAACTGGCCAAACTAAAAACAATCAGTTATAATCCAGTTTATTAATTTGCATTTGTGAGCAAACAGCTCAAACTCAAAGATTAAACTCAGCATCAGATTGTTGCTATGGTAACAAAACAATCTAACTATAAATATTGTTCTTTGAACTTTTACAAAGTAAATTTGCCAGCTCCTTAAAATCTTACATTTAAATGTTAAACAGTTTAAAATCTTTTAATTTAAGCTGAAAGCATTAAACCAAATTCAGCAGCATTGATCATCTCAATAAATAAATGTTATATTTATGTATCTGTGTTAAAATATCAGCATTTATGGCCCCTGAAGCCCTGGGGGCCCGATGGAGCCGCTGACTTAGTTTGGATTAGACAGAAGTGAAAATAATTGATATTAATTTTAATTGTGTTTTTTGATTTGTTGTTTTTAAGACTAGCTGTGGGTTTAAATAGTTTCACTGTCGATGTTTTCCCGTAACGTACAATTACCCAATAATATTTTTACTTTTCCTGGCAACTTAACATCTTTTGCTACAAAAAAACACAGTGGACCGACCGCCGGGTTGAGCAGGTTCACTGGGGGAAACCCAAAAGTTTATTGATCTTTGAGAATGTGTTCAAGACAACAATATTATTGTTTATAGCAATACTTTGTGGGACATTTTACCATTCAGTAAAATCTATTATGGTGTCAAGCCTGACTGAAGGTTCTGGTTCCATCTGTGTGGAAAGAAACGGCTGTTAACTTGGATCCACCTCCAGCTGTGGAGACGACCTCAGTGTTTTTAGATTTACCTCCAGGATTTCCTCAGTAACAATGATCCTTTTCTTTATAGTTGTTTCATGACTGGGTTTAACCTCTGTTCAACACTAATATCAAAGTCTGTCTGAGCAGCACTGTAAACATTAACATTACAATACACAACACCATATCTGAAAGTGGGAATCAATAAAACATTACATATGAAGGGATTTCAAGGCCAGGGAATAAAAAAACTAAACTACTTAGTACAGTTATGCGTGTTTTAAGGTTAATAATGCTGCTATTTCTACATTCATTATCAGGCTATGTGATCAATCTATTAACTTTACCTACTTTAATTTCTCATATAAATATTAGTCTAATCGTGTTAAAGCAGGGATGCAGCAGCGACTCCTCCAGCAGAGGGCGCGCTAACAGCGGATCCTACATTGTCTACGTGACCAGGCGCACTGTTCTCCGCGGCTAGCTGCTGTTAGCTCGACTGGGGGAGATAAACTGACTGTTACCTTCACGGTTTGATGCGACACGTCGAAGTTCTCATAATAACCGTGTTTCATCCAGTCTAGGGAGTCCTTCAGCTCGGGTCTGGCGCTCCGCTTCGCCTCTTTTATTCTCTTCTTACTTTTATGGTTCATTTTCTTCCGGTTAGCAGTGTTTGATTAGCCTCTAACTGAGCTAACTCGGGGCTACATTCACCCACCTGCTCTCGGCGTCGCTTTAATAACACAAAACAACAACATAAACTCAAGCTGCTCTCGAACTTCTGTGATGTGTAACTATAAATGTGAGCTTTAAAATCGCAGACACACCGTTAAAGTTTGATAAAATCTAACAGCGGGACACACAATGCTTGTGAAACTGATTACGCAATTAACACCCGCCCTAAATGAGGAGGAAGCCATCTGATTGGCTGCAGCTTCACGAAAATTGCAGTGCGCTGATTGGTGTTCATCATCTACGAAGCATTCCCGCCCATTAATGTTATTGGCTGCTACCTTCAAGACCTACCCGGAAGTCGGAATGTTTATTTCAATTAAACGCCATCGTTCTTTATGTTCAAGCGAAATAAAGAAAAGCTTGACCTTTTTGGACGTTTAATAGTATAATGTTTAGATCAGTTATTGAGCACAACTGTTGGCAGATCCCTCTGTTCTTCCTGCTCCAGCTAGAACACAGTGAACGACATTTCCAGTAAACATTGCGACTTTCGAGGAACAGGAACGCACCAAAAACACTGGGCGGGATTTACAACGAGACAAACACATACTCTGCTCGATTTACTAGCCAATGTAGAGAACGGCGTGCTGCGAAGGAGAACTTGCCATTTTATTTCAGCTTTCTTCTAAACTTGCTTTATTATCGATGCATTACTGCTACTGTTTTATTGTTAACTTATTGATTTATCCTAAGTGATGTTGCGATGTCTAAACCAAGATTCTATGCTAAATTTGCAACCAAAGTGACAGGTTTTGATTGATAAAGAGTTTCATTTTTGCGCATTACCAAGACTTGATAATATAATACTAATTTGTTTAAATTTATAATAATTCATACTTTTGCTTCGCATATTTATGCTAATTATGATTACCAGTGGTACTTAAAAAGAAAACTCTTCATCATCGATGTTTAGCACCTCTAGCTGACTCACACACCGGCTAATTGCTACGGAACGGACCCCTCAGCTAGCCGCGGAAGGAGCTACCAGCGTGGCTGTCACCGTCATAGACATAATATGTCTATGGTCTCCGCGATTCTCCCATCAAAATAGCGGAGTTCAGATTCACTCAGTGGTTCTGTAATGGTTTAGCTTCAGGGTTAGTTGGTGGACATTATGGAGGAGAGCGGAGAGCAGGCGGGGAGCGCAGCCTGCAGAGTTTTCACCTTTAAAGACGCGAAAAGCCCAGAGGAGAGTCTGAGTGTCTGCATCCCAGAGGTTTGTCCCTGCTGCTCCGCTGCCCGTTACATCCAGGGCTCCAGGCTCCAAAAAATAATTACGAGGAAAAAACTGCATGGCAATACAGTCATTATATTACCAGAATAAAGTTGTAATTTTATAACTCTTTCACAAAAAGTAATGAAAATAAAAAGAGGAATGTTGAGCATCTTGTGAAATTATCCTGCAGTTTTACAAATAGTTAAATATCTGTAGAATTCTTAGCTTTTTTTCCATTAAAACAACATTTTTTCTCCTAATTTTATGATTTTCTGTTGACATTATTGCACCTACTACTATTATGACTTTATTCTCGTAATAAAAACAAAATCTCAAAGTCTGGCCTAAATACTTTCACATCAATATAAACAGATGGTGATCTCTTATTGTTTTTTTTGTTTGTTTGTTTTTTAAAGAAACATCTGCGAAATGAGAAACAATTTCTAAAGTTTGAATTTGAAAGAAGACGCTGTTAGAGCTGAGTTATTAAAAGTTCCTGTTCGGTTCTGACTGCGGTGCTCCCTCAGGTTCTGGACCCTCAGTATGGGATGTATGTGTGGCCCTCCGCCGTGGTTCTGGCCCAGTACCTGTGGTTCCACCGAGACCAGCTGAGAGGCCGGGCGGTGCTGGAGGTACGGGTACCCAGAAGGAAACCTTCTGGCCTTTGAGTTTCAGGCCAGTTTCTGACCCCGCGTTGACCCGTGTCGGCCCTCCTGTGCTCAGCTCGGCGCCGGTGTGGGTCTCCCCGGCGTGCTGGCGGCCCGCTGCGGCGCCCGCGTGTCGCTGTCGGACGGATCGGACCGGCCGCGCTGCCTGGAGAACGGCCGGCGGAGCTGCGCCGCCAACGGGCTGCGGGACGTGGGCGTGCTGGGCCTCAGCTGGGGGGACGTGACCCCGGAGCTGCTGCTGCTGCCCCCACAGGACGTCGTCCTCGGCTCGGACGTCTTCTACGACCCCGAGGGGCGGGGTGAGAGTCGGAGATGAAAGCTCGCTCCTCCTTGTCGTGTGGCTGAGCTGCTGCTTCTGCTTCCAGATTTTGAAGATGTTCTGGTGACGTTTGTCTGCCTGCTGAGGAAAAACCCGGAGGCTCAGTTCTGGACGACGTACCAAGTGAGGAGGTACGGCTGCTGCTAGCTGCTGCTGCTAACTGCTAGCTGCTGCTAGCTGCTGGCTGCTGCTGCTAGCTGCTGGCTGCTGCTGCTAGCTGCTGCTGCTGGCTGCTGGACGCTGCTGCTAGCTGCTGCTGCTGCTAGCTGCTGCTGCTAGCTGCTGGCTGCTGCTGCTAGCTGCTGCTGCTAGCTGCTGCTAGCTGCTGCTAGCTGCTGCTGCTAACTGCTAGCTGCTGCTGCTAGCGGCTGCTTGCTGCTGGCTGCTGCTGCTAGCTGCTGGCTGCTGCTGTTAGCTGCTGCTGCTGGCTGCT